GCATTGTCCCTCGCCTTTGTTATGTCAAGGCAAATGCACGTCGCCCAACTCAACCCTCGCGTTGCTGCCCACCTCACACGCTCCAATCACATGTTCTCAGATAGGCCAAACGCCCCTCGTTGTCGGACGTGGACAAGGGCATGGCGTCAAGCTGGAGCCCGTGTTTGCTGCTCACGAGGCTCGCCTATCACAACCACCCGCACCACTCGCTCCGCCCACGCCGGCACCGCCTTCCGCCTGGCTACCGCCTCTGCCCACCACCCCCACCCTCGAGGTGAGCCTGCTCCCCCATCTTGTTTTCCCCAATGCATTTACTACCCCAATTCCTACGGCCTCATCCAACCTAATCACGACCAATGGCACCACACAACCCTCCATTAGACCACGGCCTCTGTTGTGGTGGCGGTGGACAAGTGGTTCAAGCCGCTCTTGCCCACGCACCACCACCCATCCCCTCCCCCACCTCGATGCCTTTATCAGCGGTGCCGCCAAGCAAAACCCCAATCTTGCAACGGCGGTTGCTTCAATCCGCAAAACCATCGATGAAGCCCCACCAGAGTTTCCTGCCATGGACTGGCCTGCCTTCCAGGCGACCATTACCCAGGCTCTGAACGCACTCGACCAGGCACTGGCAGCGCCCAAAGCGTTGAACAGCCGCTTGGGTCAATTGGACCCCAACACTGACAGCCTAGAATCAGTGCTCCAAGAGCTGCATGATATCACAGCTGGGTTTGAGCTGCAGCCAGCTTTTCTCGAGCTTCAGACCGTGCTGGCAGCATGCCCAGCTCCACCCACCACGCCAGTGATCGCGCCCAAAACGACACCCACCGACCTGGCGGCGGCCCTGAGCAAAGTCATCGTTCTGAGCGGCGTGGAACCCAAACGTCAGGAGCTGCTCACCAGCGCCAACAGCAACCTCAAGCGCCTCGTGCTGGCCTTGATCGATGCTCTGGGCGCCGTGGCAAGAGCGGGAACCACCGACACAATTCATCGCGTGGAGACGCTACGGCAGTGCGCGCAATGCGTGGATGCAAGTGCACCGCCGCCAGCCGAGACATTGCCCGAGGCTTGGGAGCAGCTGTGCCAAGCGCACAAGAAGCTGAGCCTGCTCGAGCAGAATGGTCTCGAGCAAATTGCTCAGTGGCAACCACCTACAGACTACGAGCATCGGGATTGGTACTTGGCGTTTGTGCACCACGAGTCGCAAGCTCTGCTGCAGCAGTTACAAGACATGATCGACTGGCAGGCCACGACGCTCTCCGTGTTGACCTCGTGCATGAGTCACGTGGACAGCTTAAACCAAGGCGTCGATGATGAATCGGTTGCTGCCAACGAGGAACTAACCAAGGTGGAGACTGAGATTCAAGGTATCAGCGCGGCATTGCAGCTGGTGCCTGAAACTGTTCGGTCTGGTCTCGAGCAGGAACTCAAAAAGCTAGAAAAGCGACGCGCCATTTTGCGACAACAATTATCAGATCAGCCACACGTGGACCACGTCGCAGAGCTCGCCCAGCTGCTGCACCAACACTTCCCAGCACTGCTGGTCTTTCTGTACCCTGAACAAAGCACGCTGGGAGCGCGGCTCCGCACAGTGCTTGGCCCCGACCTTCCAGCCAGCCTCATCTTGGAGGCCATGACCGAAGTAGACCAGGGTTTGACGCTATCCAGCTTGGGCCAGCTTGATCTTCAATACAACCAAAACCACATGGTGTACAAGGCCCGTGCCGCGCTTCCAGAGAGCCCTGAACAAGATTTGGCTGTCAAGGAGTATGCTTTTGCTCGGCAACACAAGCAGGATCAGTGTCGTACATTTCTGCGTGAGCTCCGCGCCATGCGCCAGCTTGAGCACCCACACATCATTCCGGTTCTTGGCGCGCTCGTGGACGTGCACAGTGGCCACCCCAGCGCCTACTTGGTGCAGCCGTGGTGTACACAGGGGGATCTGCAGCAGTGGCTCGGCAAGGCGCGCCACCTGGCTACCTCAACCGTGATGGCGAGTCTGATGACTCAGCTGCGCACGGCCCTGGCGTTTATGCATAGCAAGGGCCTGGTGCACCGGGATGTCAAGCTGAGCAACGTCATGCTGGATGGCGAGGAGGACCAACCTGTTGTGCGGCTCGGTGATTTCGACATTGCCAAGGCCGCTGCTGAAGCCACCATGCTACCATGCACGGCCACTGCATCGTCGGGCACGGCAGGCTATGTAGCACCGGAGGTGCTTTTCGGCCAGGGTCGTGTAGGTGCGCGTCCGGCACAGGATGCCTTTTCCTTTGGCTGCGTTGTCTACAACACGTACATGTATCCACAAACGGTGCCACCAGCCCGTTTACCCACGGATCAGCTTGTTGACAAATGCACATGGGATTCGGTAGCAGGAAACGCAGATTTCGGTTTTCCGCACTTGGCGGCTGAGGTGAGCGTATTGTGAATCTCTGAAACGACAACTGGGCACCGCGCCTCTCGTGTGGAAACTCACTTTGGTTTCTCTGATGCAGATGTGCGATTCGTCGAGTGATTTGTACAAGGAAACGCGGGCTTTGCTTGCAACAGATCCGAAGCAACGGCCAAGCCTTTTCAGCGCCAAGCAGATTTCGCAGCAGCTTGCCATCGCCCAAGTTGGGCCAGCCATTGATGTCTTGCGCGACGCGCCCGAGCTCGTGTCAGAGGTGCGTCGCTTGTGATTGCTTTTTTTTTTTTTTTTTTTTTTTTTTTTTTTTTTTTTTTTTTTTTTTTGGCTCTTCCACAAGTCGTCTGATTTGTATCTCTGGGTGGCTAGGTGGGTGAGCTACTGAAGCAGCTGAACACCGGTGGGCGGGAACCAGCGAATATTGCAGTGCAACGGGTAGAGCGCGTGCACAACCCCGTGCTGTGGGAGCGCTACAGCGCCAAGCGACGAGAGATGTTGCATCGTATCAAAAATCAAGTGCACTATGATCAGCTCCAAACGGCCACATCGGATGCGCCCTCGGGCTCTCCAGCTCTGCTTCGCGATACATCCTGTCAAGAGCGCCTGTTGCTCCACGGCATCGCCCCTGACACAATGCTACGCGACAAGATTGTGCGCCTGGGCCTTGACTATCGCTTTGCCGGCAGCAGCGCTGGCCACCGATTTGGTCTCGGTGTTTACTTGGCGGACCATCCCGGCAAGGTAGGGCAGCGCTGGCTGTCAATCTCACCTGTCTACCCAAGTGCTGTGGTGCTGACGCAATGTGCTTGTATGATTTCAGAGTCATCAGTATGCCGGTGCTGGACCCAACGGCGAACGAATGCTCGTCATCACGCGAGCCCTGCTGGGTCATGCCTTTGTCCACCCATCACCTCCTTCTGGGGCGCTGGCGCCACCGCTCCTGCCAAATGCGCCCAACAACGAGCGGTGCGTTGGGCAAAATCGACCATCTGTTGCATGTTGCCTTTGCCCGCCTTCTGATCTGACTTGTTGCGTTTGCCATTGAATTTTCTGCAGGTATGACTCGGTTGTCGCGACACCCTCTGGGGAATTCCATGAGGTGATTTTGTTTGAGAATGCCCAAATCTATCCCGAACTAGTTGTATACTACACGGCCAAATAGGATGAGCCGGACTAGGTGCTAGTTTGTTGTGAGCGGCAAATCCTTTGTCCAGCTGCTTTTGCACACAATCAGCGTTATCGATGAGGGGTCTTCCCACAGGAACCCCTATGGAGCTGGTGCGACTTCATCCCCTGACTAACATACACACCGAGACGTACTGAGGCGTGCCCTCCCTCTAGGGGGCACATGCGTCGACCCGTGTGCTTCGTGTACCTTGCAATGTCTTGGCAGCCAGCCTTGTCTGATAAGCTTGTATTCACTGTTGTTCGTTGTTATCTGTTTGTTGTGACACCTCTGGCTGGCACGGGTTGCACTTTCCCTGAGCGTCCCTACAGCCATTCCAATGGAGCATCTGTTCTGGTCTGGTCACTGTGAATGCTTGCCGACCGCAGCTGGTTCAATTGATCTCGAGACACCACCAAACTTCTTGTTTTGTCCCGACGGACGTCTCTCAAACCTTTTTTTCAAAACGCCTCCTCAACACGACCCGCTTCCTCGCAAACCCAAAACTGGCCTTTCACATGCTGTGGGGCCTGACTGCTGGCTGTCTGAATAAACGGCATACCTTTCCATACTTGGATCGAAAGATCAGTATGCTAATCTTCATGTATTTGCTGCTGAGCAAGCTTCTAGAGCACAGACTGAGCAGCTGGCTGGAAAAGCGAGGCAAGCTGGACACGCCCGGCGACTATGCTGCATTTCATTGACAAACGAGCACGTCGGTCAACGCTTGGGGTACGCCGCGACCCTTTGGATGTCGACCTTTGTGATTCATCGACTCTTGGCCGAGTCAACCAGCGCTCTTGGCAGCCTAATCCACAATCAAGCTCGGCAAGCTGGAGACACAGCCGAGCAAATGACCGTGTGCAAACCAAGGTGTCGTCTCAACTGATGCATCGAGTAGACTCGCATCAATGGCATGTTTTGTTTGGACGAGATGGCAAAGCGCAGTATGGCCGAGTTGACAGCAGCCCGAGAAGCATTGGAAGTTTGCTATATTCCATCAGTTGGAACCCGGTGACTGACCTCTAGCCCGAGGCAAATCCTGTTGTTGTTATTGTTGTTGTTGTTGTTGACGTGTGGTGTTTGTGTGCAGGTGTGCGAGGCGACGAGCGATTTGTACAAGGAATCATGGGCCTGCTTGCAACAAATCTCAAGCAGCGCCCAACTCTCTTCAGCGCCGGGCAGAGTGTGCAACGCCCAAGTTGTCGGGCCAGTCATTGACGTTTTGTGCGACGCACCCGAGCTCGTGTCAGAGGTGTTGCTTGCTGATATAGTTACAATTATATTCTTTTTATTTTGACAAGCCGCGTGGTTTGAATCTATTGTGTGGCTAGGTGGCTGAACCGCAGCAGCGGCATGATCTGTTGGATATACTTTGCTTTGACAATTGTCGGGACGGAAACAGTCATGATCAAGTCGCGAAACAACAAATTTAGCGATTGGAGGCTTCACAACAGGGGGCCTGGCGAAAAGCAGCGGGACGTGCCAACAAATCACCACCACACTGCTGTCTTGTACTGCTGGAATGATACAGGACATGTCTTGAAGATGTCCTCAATCTCGCCTGCATTTATGCAGCTTGCCTCGTAAAGACTGATGCTCGTCAAGGGGGGCTCTCTTCTGGGTCGTGCCAGGATCGGACCCAAAAAATCAAATTCCTTTGCACTTGTGA